ATAAAACTGCTGAAGTTATAAGTAAAAATTCCTGTATCAGAAATTTATTTCAAATAAATATCTGTAGCAATAAACAAAAAAATAAACATAGGGTAAAGATAAAAAAAAAAAGGGGGATTGATTTTGAAAGCTTTTGTAAAAATTTGTTTTCTCCTCTTGAAAGATCTGTTAATCTGGCGAAATTTGTAATAAAACACGTTTTTAAATTAACAAATGCAAAACAAATATTTATCAAAGTATCTACTAAACTTTGAATTTAAAAATATCCATGTTAAAGGCTTAATTATAGATCTAATTAAATTTAGGTTAAAATGGAATCATATACTTATACTCCTTTCTGTAAAGAAAAAAAAAGAGAAATCTTACATAGTAATTGATTTTAAACATAAAGTTTATGATGATTTATATTTACCTTACCTGATCCATAAAAGTATTCAAGAAGACATTTTTCCCATAAAATCATTTCAACCTATAGTCAGTTTTAAATAAAATAAACCTATAGGACCTCTTATCTTTAACTTAAAAAAATTCATGGAAAAATTTAATCAAATAGAAGTTGACAAATTTAGTTGTAAATGTAATAATATTGTTTTTAAATATATCTTTCAAAGTCATTTAGTTAGAGGAAACCTAGAAGTTGTCAAAGATAAAGAATTACAATCAATATTAAAGAAAGGTACTAAATACAGAATAATTTAAAAAATAAAAAATGTGATATCTTAAAAGACTTAAAAAAAAATATTGATAATTATATTCTTAAAATAAGTAAATCCTATTATCCACCATGTTTCTTTTTTGAATGGAAATTATATTTTATAAATTCCGTAAAGAATTGATTAAAAACCCTAAACTTATCTCAAGATAAAGTAGATGTTTCTTTCAATGTCTTTAAAAATAAAATAAGTTCAAAAACAATTTGTTATTACCCCAATTGACAAAGGTGGTTGTAATTTTGGTTTTGTATGTAAAAACATTATATGCACAAATTTTACTTAAAGAAATTAATACAACAAGTACTTTTACTACAAGTACTTTATATTAATTTACCATTTTTATATGCAATTCCAAAACTGCATAAAAATCCAGTGAAGTCCAGATTTATTACTAATTCTTTAAATACAGTTATTAAATCTGTCTCCATAGTACTTAACAATATTCTAGATATTTTGTTTCAAAACAAAATAATTTTTTTTTGGATTATTAAAAATAACATTCCAGTTTTGGAATGTTTAAATAACTTAAATTATTCAAAAACTGCCAGTTCTATTTTTACATGACTTTACTACATTGTATACTAAAATAGACCTAAAAGATTTGAACAGGGTTTTCAATGATTTGTTTGATAATTTTATAAATAATGAAATAATTATACACAAATTTAAATTTACTAGAATTATAAAAATATACTCCATTTCTAATAATGGCTGGAGACGGCTTGAATGGGTAATGAAGAAAAACTCCATTTCTATATTTATTACAGTTATATTACTTTTAATGAATAAGTATATAAGCAAACACTGGGTATTCCAATGGGAACGAACTTCTCTTCAAATATGGCCAATCTTTATATATTCTTTTGTGAAAACTCATTTATGAAGCAGGCTTTAAATTCTAACTTATACTTTTACACTTTCCATTTCATAGATGATTTAATATCTATAAATAATATGAATTTTAAACCAAACTTAATATATCCAACAGAATATATGCAATAGAAAGAAGTAATAATAATAATGAGGTCCATGCTAATTATTATGATATGACATTACTTTATAGAACACACAGTGAGGTTGACTATTTTTGATAAAAGAAGATAATTTCATTTTCCCATCCTTGGTCTACCCACACCTAACAGAGTTATTCTATGTATCATGCTAAAAGGTATTATTATATCTCAACTAAAATGGTTTTTAATAGTATGAAATAACTATAATTTTTTATGGATAATGTTCTATTATTAAAAAATAAACTGAAAGATAATGGCTCTAAAGACAGGCAATAACTGAAATACCTTACTTTATTTTGTTTAATAAATACAAAAGTATTTTAGAAACTAAATTATCAATTCAGGAAATACCTTATAAAAATAAAGAGGGTATTAGTTACTTTGATTTATAACTAGCTAATAATTTTATTCAGTATACCAGGATGGAAAGATTAACTTCAACTGGGCTTATCTCAGCATCCCATGCCATATTCAATAAATCTTCAAGAGAAAGGAAGAAGATTGGGAGTACGAACTACATAAGAACTTTTAAGGTAGAGTTTATAATTCTATTTAGTTCTATTCAATGTCTTTTTTTTTAAGGGTTGAGGCTGGGAGTTTAATTAGTAGAAATGTTAGGGTGATTTCATTTCTACTTCAAGAAATTTAAGGGTAACTGCCTTCCCACAACTGGCTATAGACAGTGAAAGGCAGTAGAAGCTGAGACTTTGTGGGTGTAAGCACTCGGCTTCATACTCTTATTTATTTGATCTTCCATGATGGCCGACTAGATTAACATCAGTGTTTGGATTTTGTCTGATACATGGGATATCCTCAATGCATTTGGGTGCTATTGCCATAGATATTATCTGCTACGACAATAAGTTGAAAACCTGGACCAAGACGAATAATGGTAATGTGATATAATACACACACACACAAATTAATAAAGCAGCATCTACATAACAGATGAATTCAGTAGACAGTGGGATGAATCTGAGGGTTGGATAATTACTAATGTCTCTCCTATTTTTAAAAGAGGTTGATAAGAGTTGTCCTAATAATTATAGACCAGCTAGTTTTACTTATGTGATGGGAAAAATTCTAGTCTGTTAAAAGAAACTTTTTAAAATCATCTTGTGAGATATAATATCATAAAGGAAAATCAACATGGATTTGCTAAATGAGAAATATTCCCTTACTAATCTGTTAACATATTTCCATGAATATTATGTGTTATCTAGATGATGTAAGGGGTGTAAACTTGGATTACTTATATTTTCAGAAACTTTTGATAAGGTAACACATTCAATAATAGCTAAAAAAATCACATTGATAGGGGTTGATGATAGACTAGATATATGAATTGCAGAGTGGTTTTGGATGGGAAAAAGCAAAAATTATTACTTTACAAAATTAGACTGTTGTTAGCAACCAGAGAAATGCCTTTTGGATCAGTGTTTGGGTCTTTGTTTTTTGTTTTTTTTACTTACATTAATGATATTGATAGGAGCATAATTTGTAAATCAATAAAACTGGCTGATGACATTAAATTCTTAAGTATTTCTTCCTGTACTGAGAAAGTTGAGATACTACAAAATGAGTTGGATCAATCTGAAAGTTCATCAAATATATGGCAAATGACATTTAATTATAATTGGTGCATGTAGTGCATTTGGGTTACCATAATTGGAATCACACAATTAATATAGAAAGGAACTTACCCAATAACATGACTAAAGAAAAGGATTTTGGCATAGAGATAAGTCACTCAATCCATTAAGGCAGTGCTCTGTTGCTATTAGCAAAGTTAATACAATTTTAGAATGCATGTATAGATGTGTTGATTATACGTCAAAAAAAATAAGTTTCTTTCTGCACATATAAAATGTTAGACCTAATTTGAAATACTGTGTAGAGTTTTGCTATCTTTATCTAAGAAATGATATTGAGTAACTGGAAAGGTTATCTTACAAGTACAACTTAAGGTATCATATTTTCTCTTATTGGTGTACAAATTTATGTGGGTAATTCATAGGATAAAGGCCTATAATTTTGTGTTATGTTACGAATACAATGAGATGAGAGAACACAAGTTAATGATTTATAAGACACAGACTAGGCTCCAGTGAAAGTTATATTTTCTTAAAAGGATTGTCAGGTTTTGTATGTAGGTGTCTGACTTGTTGGCAGTACATTTCAACAAAAGACAAACACATTAAATCCACTTGTTTTAAAATAATATATTAAAACAAGCCAAATGTACATACAAATGTTTGTTACACAGTTACATCCAGAGCTTTAAATAACACAGGCCTGCGATGGTTTTATTGTCTTGAAAGTTTTCATGTTTTACAATAATTCCTACAAAAATTCACATTTTGTTATGCTTAAAATGTTAACAACCATTGGCTATAGATTTCTCTAGACCAGCATTTCACAAACTATGTTCCACGGAACACTGGTGTCTGTCCTAGATTGACAGGTGCTCCGTTAGAAAATCTTGATTTTAAATTTAAAAAAAATATTTAACACTTTTTGTATGATAACTTATTATAAAATATTTTCCTATGTATTAGAATTAAATAATATTGATTTTGCATTGAAGAAGAATTATAGAATATGCCATATCTATTCTACATAATATCTTAATGGAGAGGTTTGTACCTAAAATATATTATAAGCATAAAAATGTAAAAATTCATTAATATGTAATTTGATTAAATAAATAAATGAATAATATACAAATCTAGAGGGCGCTGTGCATGTAACATACCCTCTACACCAATATTTTAAGTGTCTAGTGTTCGGTAAGCTTTTCCTCAGCTGAAAAATGTTCTGTGGCCAAAAAAGTTTGGGAAATGCTGCTCTAAACCAATCATGACATGAGAGTCTCATCAATCATTCTAAAACCCACGAGAAACACTGCTAGTACATAAACAGTTAATAGGCCGCATGATGTGTCATTTAGTATTTGTTTGTCATGCATTTTGACATTAATTTTTTTCTTTTCAATATTAAATATTTGTCATTATGGCAACAAGCGGTTGTGTAAATGACCCAAACATATTCTGTTATATTTGTGGTAAATTTGTTGTAAAGAAACAAAGGCAAAACATTACAGAATTTGTCAAAAAGTGTATTACGCATATCTTTGAATAAAACTTGGGGACCAAGACAAATCATGGGCTCCACACAAATTTTCCACCATTTGTATTGAAGAGTTGAGACAATGGACTGAAGGTAAGAAAAAGTCTTTGGCTTTTGGAATTAAAATGGTCTGGCATGAGCCTAGAAACCACGGAGTTGACTGCTATTTTTGCTCATATAACTTGCAAGGTTACAACACTCGAAATAAAAAGGAAATTTCTTATCCAAACCTTCAGTCTGGTATAAGACCTGTTGCTCATGGAGCTGATGTACCTGTAGCTACTCCACTGAAGATTCTTGATACAGTTTTATCTGATTCTGAAGCCAATAGAAATGATGACAAGAATTGTTTTCAACCTGAAATGTCTGGTGAACCACAACTTTTAACACAAGGTGAACTTAATGATTTGGGGAGAGATTTGGGCCTTCCAAAGGATTCTTCAGAGATTTTGGGGTACAAACTTCAGGCTAAGAACTTACTTTCTCCAGAGACATCATTTTCCTAGTACAGAAATCGTGAGAAAGAGTTTATACCATACTTTTCGAAAGAAGGTTCACTGGTTTATTGCAACAATATTGTTGAATTAATACCAATGCTAGGAGCTGCAGTCTATGAACCAAGTGAGTGGCAATTGTTCATTGATTCCTCCAAAAGAAGTCTAAAAGGTGTTCTCCTTCACAATGGTAACATACATGCATCTGTTCCCATTGCTCAATCAGTTCACTTGGAGGAAATGTATGAAAAATCTCGAACTTCTTCTTATTAAGATCAAATACAAAGAACATGGTTAGCTACTTTGAGGAACTTAAAAGTCCTTTGTACGTTGTTGGGTCAACAATCCAGTTATACGCAGTTCCATGTTTTTTGTGTGAATGGGACAGCAGAGCACGAAATCAGCACTGGATAAAAAAGCAATGGCCATGTAGAGT